AGTATCAAATAGCATTTCCCCCGTTTTCCTAGCTGAGTGAAATGCACATTGAAAAAGAGCCAGAAACTCATCTAAAGGCAAAATGTCCTCATAACTGATTCCAGACCTGTGCTCTCTACCTTTCTAGGGCTCCAGCTTGTACCTTTCCTTACAAACACAAAATACCTGGTTCTGCTGGTCTTGAAGACTCGCACGGACATCAGGAGTGAGATCAGGCTCTGAAAAAGGCTTAAAAGTATGTTTGACATATATCTAAGCCAATTCATCCTTATATCTTCACTAAGCGCACACAATTGTCTCACTCTTAATCTAAAAGTTCAACATGAGCTCCAAACACTTTGCTGAATCAGGACTTTAATAATGTTGAAGGAAAGAGGAGTAGCAGTGGATAAAAAAAGAGGAGCTTCACTCCTCTGGTTGCATGCAGGCCCTTAGATAAGTCATCTCCCCTACAGCAAGCCTCATTAATGTTTTTATGCATTGAAATGAGGTGGCTTTAACCAATACCTGCTGCCTCAGGCACAACGGGTGCTCATATTAGGTGAAAAGGTAAAGGAGTGGGTATGAGCAGCGTTTTACAGCGTCACTTCTGCTGCTGGTGTGATTACTCATGGTGGGTTTGATTGTTTGCCAGTTGTTGGGGGGTGATGTCTGGGTTTATTATAATTTATTGAGAGATACCTTAGTGTCAGGATTAGAAAAATCTTGCTTTCAACTCAAAGTCAGAGGTTTTTCGCATATCAGGTTAGACAGGGTCTGCCTCATTAGATCACTTTCAGGTTTCCAAGTTACAACCCTGGTTCTGATGTATTTGGATTCCTCACAGATTCCTCAAAGGAAATGCAAGTACCTCTTTTAAGATCATTTATGTGCATTGAAAGCATTTACGAATTGCGACATGAGGAAACACAGACTATTTTATTATTTATTCAGTTCATATATCAGATCTTTTGCCAAGTACATGCTACTGGTAAATGCCTCATAGGATGAGACAAATGTGTGTTAGGTTCCCCTCTTCTCTCTCCCGGAACAGAAATGTGGGCTCTGTTTTGTATAATTATCAGGCCCAGTAGCATTTTAAAGTGTGTTATGCAGCTTAGGTGAGACTGTGGCCCCAGTGAAACCGATGGGAGATTTGGCTTCAGCTTCAATGGAACTGAGATTTCCTTTCCTCTCCTCTTCTGTCTGTATTTGATGAGCCTTTCTGTCAGGAGAAGAAAGAGATCCTCTTTTGAAAAATAGTCATAGATGCTTAATAAAGCTGAAAGAGCCAGCCAGGATTACATTTTTAGCTCTATAGCCAGCAAAATCTATTCCAGAACTAATTCTGATTAAAAGAACTGAATCTACTGGTTGAACCTCAGACACAAAGGCACCCCTGGAGTAATTCAACTGTATGATATACTTGTTTTTAAAAAAAACTAATTATTGCACTGATCTTGGTAAAATCTGGCCCTTGTGTAAAGCATTGATTTCAAAACTGTCTCTCTCTTATCTGTTTTTGTTCACGAATTATCTTAAGGCTTGGGCAGGACCATCACTGTAACTGACCTTTATAAAAAGAGTGAGTTTACTGGCCACATTAATTAAGAGGCATGGCAGACCATAAAATAAGTATAAATAGAAGTTAAATTATTCCACAGACTGTGTCCTCCCACTTTATTTTTTTCTTAATTCTGACTCAACCAGATCAATCTCTAGCACAGAACAGGCTTGTCTGTTCTTGGTCAGTGCTCCTCCCAAGCACTTCCAGAGGTCTGGGAAAGGGTAGGGTCTTTCATTGGACCATATAGGTGGAGAACACAGATATTCACAAAGTCCTAAACTCTGAAACTAGACTTTCACCTCCCTTTTCCAGCTGGTTTATTCAAAGATATTCTCTACAGAAGAACTGTACTGCTTCTACATCCTGAGCTCATCTTGGCTCCAACAGTGACCTCAGAGGTTTTCATTCCCTATATTCCTGGTGCTTTAGTTGTAAAGAAACAATTCTGGTCATCTTGCTTCAAGTTCAGAGGAAAACAAGACAAAACTAGGAACAGTAGTTTGGTGGAAGTAGAGAAATGCTCTTACTAATGTTCCCCAGCTCTCAGTGTTTTTTCTCTTGGCACCTGTGACCAGTATCCCAACAGGATTCACACGTGTGCCACCTGCGGCCCTGGCCAAGCTGAGTCCTGCAGGGTCACCAACCTGTGTAACCATTGATGGAGAAAGTACCAGGTTACCGGGAGAGCAGAGGAGAAGCCTCACCATCCCTGGCTGTGTCAGGACTGAAGCACTTCCTTAGGGAGGCAGAGCAAAAGTCTTGCAGATATAACCTGGAGCAGAGCACAAACCCTACTTTTCCTCAGGCCAGGAGAGCCTCAACCCTGCACTGCTCCCTCACCCCATGGGGTGTTTTCACCCCATTAAATGACCAGTCATTGCTTTAGAGGGCCCTGACCAGTTTCTGTCCCTGTTCTGGCAAGATGTTTAGTGACACAAATGTGTCATTTCACTATGATAAAGTGCCTTTCTGGGGGAGATGCCAAACCTTCAGGCCTATCATGGATTTGAAGGTCCAAACCTTCGGTGAAACTTTTGCCAGCCCCAGAAATCAACCATCCGGTATCGCTGTGTTGCTTGGAAAGCATCCAAATTCTGGTGAAGGCAGAACTTTTTGGCTCTGGCCTCCTTCCTGGTCTCTTGACAGGAAGGTGGGAGTAGTTTGCCATCCTCTACCTCATGGAAGTATTGTACAGCAGGGAAAGAATTGTGTTTTATGTATTTCATGCTTGCTATAGCCCATCCTGTGGATTTTATAGAATCATAGGATCATTAAGGTAGGAAAAACCTCTGAGGTCATCAAGTTCAACCATCAACCCAGCACCACAACCATATGTCCCTAAGTACCATATCCACACAGGTTTTGAACACTTGCAGAGATGGTGACTCCACCACTTCCCTGGGCTGCCTGTTCAAATGCTTGACCACCCTGTCTGTGGAGAAATTTTTCCTAATGTCTAATCTAAACCTCCCCTGGTGCAACTTGAGGCCGTTTTATGCTGTCATTCTTAATAATGGCAATGCTACGAAAGTCCAGGGAAGAAAAAAAAAAGAGGTCCTTGAACCTACAATCAAAATAAAATATCCCAGCTAATTCTAAATCATGTTAAACTGGGGGTGAACTTAATCATCGGGGTGGGGACAGAATAGTAAATCCAATTTCCTAGCAAGTTTTTAGCGCTTTTCCTAATGTGTTTTTAGCAACAAAACAACCCCTCTGGCACTGTGTTTAACTTCCTTTTATTGCAGATGCCTTTTGGTTAACAGCAAGGATCTGATTTAGTTTTACAGTTACCCAGTGACCACAGGAGGCGGATTGTGCATCACCAGGGAATGCTCCAACGTCTGTCTGCCTCCCCTGCTTCCAGCAGGAACGAGGGATCCCAGGAGCACGGCCAAGCCCATGTGGCTGTGACAGTAATTGAAGAAACTGCTGAATCAGCCAAAACAAGGGTTCATAGCGAAGCTTGAGCCAGGCAGACACATGTCCTGGAAGCACCAAGCAAAAGATGACCACAAAGACTGGGCCAGGAGAGGTCAAGAGATGCCAACTGGCTGGGAGGCACCTCCTAGGACATCACAGTGGTTTGCATCTTCCTCACAAGGGGAAGAGGAGGGACAGACCCCGATCTCCCTGATGATCAGTGACAGGACTCAAGGGAATGGCATGAAGCTGTGTCAGGGGAGGTTTAGGTGGAATTTTAGGCAAAGGTTCTTTGCCCAGAACGTGGTTGGGCACTGAAACAGGCTCCCCAGGGAAGTGGTCACAGCACCAAACCTGACAGAGTTCAAGAAGCGTTTAGACAGCTCTCTCAGACACGTGGTGGCCTCCAAACGCAAGCTCAGGTAACCCCTTCAGAAGACAGTGCTCAGCATGGATCAGCCTTTCCCCACCCTGTTTTAAGGAGCAGAAGCCCAAGAACAGCTGCTCAGTGGCTGAGCGCCTGTCAGAGCCCACAGATGGAAGCAGTTTTCTTCCAGAAGCTGAGCGCAGCTTCCAAGCCCCAGGGTGGAAGGAGGACACTGCAGGGAAGCGGGGCAAGGCAGAGGAAGGGAGGGAGACAAGGAGGAGTAATGAAGTGCACACATGCGTACGTGTGAAGGAACGACCTGACACACGAGATGTGTGCCAGCGAAATTAAAAAAAATAATAATAAAAAGTGAGTCCTGATGCTTTCGTGCTCATGCAACACATGCAGGGCTGACCTCAGATGCCTTCTGTCTGGCATCACCACACTCCCACAGACGATGGGGCTCAGGTGACGTATTTGGTCTTTGGCCATCTCTGGCTCAAAGCTTCTCAACAGAGAACTTGGCCCAATAAAAAACAAGGGAAGGGGCAGCCACAACTGGAAGACACTCATCGTCATAATTCTCTGCTGCTGAGCAATGCCTGGACCAGGAGCTGCCCAGTTTTGTGCTGTAGCAACAAGGCACTCAACTCTTCTTCACCCCTTCCCAGACCAGGCAGACAGGAGCACTTCAAGGAAGAGGTTAGGAGGCTGTGGCCAGATTTGTCTTCGTTTATTTTATATCCAGTCACTGTTAAATGAAAAATATCTGAGCAGTCCTCAGGCCTGGGTGTAGAGCCCAGGGCTGTTCACTGCTTGCTGCCTGCCCCCATGAGGTCACAGGGTGCTCTGTGCAGGGCACAGCCACGTCTGGAGAGGCTGAGGTCACTTGTCTTCTTCAAACTGGAGAAAAAGAGGCTGAGGGCTGCCCTCATTGCAGTCTACAGCTTCCTCATGGGGGGAAGCAGAGGGGCAGGCACTGATTTCTTCTCTCTGGTTGACCAGTGACAGGACTGAAGGGAATTGCATAAAGCCATCTCAGGGGAGATTTAGGCTACATACTAGGAAAAGATTCTTCACAAAGAGGGTGGTTGAGCACTGGAACAACCTCTCCAGGGAAGAGGTCACAGCATTAAGCCTTCCAGAGTGCAAGAAACATTTGGACAACATTCTCAGACACATGGTGGGATTCTTGGTTGTTGTGTGCGGGGCTGGACTTTGATAATTCCTGTGGGTCCCTTCCAACTCAGGATATTCTGCAATGGGCAGCCCATTCCCATATCTAATCACCCTTTTTGTGAAGAATTTCTTCCTAATGTCCAACATAAACCTCCCCTGGTGCAGCTTAAGACTGTGGCCTCTTGTCCTATCTCTCATTATCTGGGAGAAGAGACTGATCCCCACCTGGCTACAACCTCCTTTCACAGGGAGTTGTAGAGAGTGATAAGCTCCCTCCCCCAGATCCTCCTTTTCTCCAGTCTGAGCCCCTACAGCTCCCTCAGCTGCTCCTCATCAGACATGCTCCAGACCCTTCCCCAGCTCTGTAGCCCTTCTCTGGACTTGCTCCAGCACCTCAATGTCCTTCCTGAACTGGGGGACCCAGAACTGGACGCAGGACTTGAGGTGCCTCAGCAGTGCTGAGGTTGTGTCTCTGCCCTGCAGCCCTATCTCCCGATGAGCACAAATCCTTCCCAGCTCCGTCCAGCAACACTCCATTTCCACAGCCTGAGGCAGGACACCCTCCCTCCAGACCACCTCTGCACATATTTAAAAGCAGTGCCAGACACTGGCTCTCCTGGCTGTGTAAACACCACGGAGGGACTAAAGATAGTGCCAGGTCATAGCTCAAAATCACATCTTTTCTTCTCTGCAGAGGCTAGAAAACGGCAAATAGGATGCAGGGTTTGGCTCCACGGTGTTCACTGTTGTCATGACTCATGAGTTAATTTTTTCTTTTCTGTAACAGAACAAATGCCTGCAGAAATTATTCCCTGTCTGTTCTGACAATGGCCTGGCCAAAACACATGTTTTTGCATACAGTCAATGTAAGAAGAGAAGCACAACAGCATCATGTGTGTGAGTCAGTATTTTAAATATTTTCTTTAAGTGTGTTATTTTACGTGTTTAAAATATGTTTATGTGCGGCATTCAGTGCATTAAATAAAGTCAAAATGAGCAACAAGTGCTGCGGCACAGGTTAGCTGCACAGCTATAAATCTCTGTTTTGAAGCTCAACCACATGTGAAACAAGAACTAATCAAATCATGGCAAAGGCAAAATTAATGTAGGTCTTTTCAAGAGGATCCAATCCCAGCAGAGGATTTTGCTCAGCCAAGCTCCTTCCAACTTTATTGGATGATAATTATTTCTGTACAAAAAAATGTCACAATCAAACGCTCCCCGAGCAGTACTTTTGTTTTCTACAGAGCTGGTTGAGCAATGAAAAGATTTATTAGTGGAGAATATATTAATGAGGAATTTGTGGAGAAACAACCAAAAAGTCAGCGAGTGGAATTTCCACAAAATGTCTCCAGGGTGTGAGTTTGCCAAGCACAAAACTTGAAGATGCCCAGTGCTCCCTGTGGGGTAACAATCATACCCCAAACTCTGGAAACAAGTATTTTGCCACCCAGCATGCCCAAAGGAGAATACCAATTTACAGTAGCATCATAGCATCAGAGAATGGTTTGGGTTAGAAGGGAATTTAAAGACCATCTCAGTCCAATCCCCTGCCACGGGCAGGGACACCTTCCCGTGTTGCTCAAAGCAACGAGGTTGATCAAAGCCCTGTCCAACCTGGCCCTGTGTAGTCCAGATCTACTGACACCAACTGTGAGCCCAAAAGAGCAAGTGCTTCATCTTCTGAGTTCAGGCTGCCCCTAATTGTTGGCTGAACTAAATAATCCTGCACAGAACTGTTCATCCCATAAGCATAAATTATGGTTTCTTGTCCCTTCCTATGAAGCTCCATGTTCTCATGGCCAAGCAGATATGAGAGATATGAGGTGGACAAGCCTGTCTCATAAACGTGCCTCTGTGGGACAGTCCCTCGTGGGACAAACACATACTAAAATAAGAAACATCCATTTTCCACACCCGTTACTCACTACTAACATACAGTCTGAACTGTCCTGCCATCTTCTTATTTAATGGAGTTTTCCTTACCATGATCCGTGAGATAAGACACTATTTAGGCTTCTCCTTAATTGCTCAAAATCTGTTGCCCGATAGGACATTATTATAACTCCATAATTTTTAAGATCCAGGAAGAAAATCCTCCAAGTCTCTTGTAGCAATAAGCGTGATGCTTTTGCTTCCCTCAGACACTGTAAAAATGAGAGGAAAACTGCTTTATTACAATATTTAGGCCTTTCATTTGAGTTTATCAAATCAAACAATCCATTTTGGAGTTGCCCTTCTACCTGTGGGAAAAAATTGCAGGCTACATATCCGAGTTCTTCCAGTGCTGGGATATCTCTATTTGTGTTGAAGATAAACAGGGACAAATTTCTCTTCTTTCCAATTTACAGAGAGCTTGGACTGACGTATTTCCTGGAACTGATGTATTTCATGGAACTGATGTGTTTGATAGAATTCAGGAGATATTTTTTGAACCGTTAAAGGAAAATACACAAGTATTTCCTGAATTTGTTTCTTCTTATCCCATAGTTTACATGAACTGTTCAGCAAAGGGAAGCAAAAGCTGAGCTTCAACCAAACCCAGACCAAAGCAGAGCTTCTGGTAGAAACCATGTTGGGATTAAATGATTTCCTTTGGTTTCCATCCAAAACCAAGCTGAACGTGGATTTCTGGGTTGAGTTTCACTTTGAATTTTTGGTTTTATTTAGTTATGAAGAATTAAGTGAAACTTGGGAGGTTCAAATCCTCATTGAATGATCCTGAAAAATGATCTGCAAAACCCCTTGCTATGGAGTCCAATTTCCTACCTTTGATCTCTGTGGATGCTGGGAGTAGCACCAGTATCTCTTCCAACCCTTAAAAAACAGGCCGGTGAAGCTACTACTTTTTTTTTATGTAGAGACTTCACTATGCAAGCGACAACATCCAGCCCCAGTCATAACCCTGGGGCCAGCTGGAAAGTAGGAAATCCCTGAATTTGCCCTTCTCCAAGACAGGTTCCATCAAAGTGAGCAGGTACCACCTTGAGCATGCCAAGAGAGAAATACAGAGAAAGGCACAGAGCTAGGGGATCTACTGACTTTTTCTGTGGGAAGAGGAAAGCATTTATCCTCCTCAGATCCCAGCTTGTGCCAGAATCACAGGCAGTGCTCTTTGGGCTTCCCATCATGGTCACTGTGATCCATGAGATCCCAGTTATCTGGTGCGGCTGTCACTGAGCAGCCCATCCCACCTGACAGGAGCCAGAGGGCCATTGAGCTGGTGGCCACCCAAGTAATAGGTATTTTAATTTGCTTATCTATCCATCTGAGGTGTAATCCCATGTATGCCAGCTTTGGCAGGAGAGATGGTGCAAGAACATCCTGCCCCACCATCTTGTATCCTCATAGCTTGCTTTTTAACTGGAGTAATTTCCATGATCTGACTTCAAGCCCGGTATGATAAAACTGGGGAGGGAGGTAATTGCATCACAGGTTGAGAAGCTTTTGGGGAAGAAGAAGCCTTTGAAGCTGCTGTCTCCCCCAAAATACCCTCAGGTACTCCTGTTGGACCCTTCCTGTGGATGTATGACACGTCTCCCAGTTAAGTCATCTTTATGGAACACGTACTTGCTGCTCCCTTGTGTTTTTATTTTCCTCTCCCTCTTCAAATGCTTCCTGCCTTTGGCTGTCTGTGACTGAACTCCTTGGAGCCTTAATAGTCTTGGAATCCCTCCACTTCTATAACTTGATTTTACTATTTAGGAGAAAGTTTGATTCATTCCCCCCAAACCAGAAAGAGAATAAAGGAAGGGGAAAAAATCCTATTCATCCACCAGCAAAGAAACAAGATGCAAAAAGACAAGATTATTCTCATTCAGCTATTCATGGCTTTGGAGTGCATTTCATTTCAGTGTCTGCACAGGCCTTTGTAGCAACCATCTGATTGAACATTACTTATACTGCATATTATAAGCACTAATGAGAAAATGATTCTAAATTGCCCCTAGGGATGGTTATGATTAAACTATTTGCCTTTGCTTCCTCCAGTAAATTAAAGCAACCAAAAGAAAGAGAAAAAAAAAAGAGGCTCAATCTGGAAAGCAGTCAGGAGAATGGTTTGGTAAAGTTTCTGAATTCCTAGGAGCATTTTTCCTCCTAAACCTGGCGATTGGATGCGTGTTTCATGCTGCAATTTGGAACTAAAAGCTGTGACAAATATGTGACACAGGGAAGCATTTCGGAGGGCTGAACTGGGCAGGATTTTCTGTGTTGTCAACTGTTTTGAAGCCCTGATCAGCTTTAATTGCACTGAAGCTGCTAAACCCCACTGTGCCACCGAGCAGCTCCTCCAAGGCGTCAGACGTCTGTCTCTTAAAAAGAGCATTTCAGAGGCTCTCACACACACAGAGCCTCATTCAGAGGTTTTATTTAAACTCTTAAATCTTTTGAGCTTGGGGTGAATAAACGAGTCCCTGAAATGCAATCCATTCTTGCTGCTCAGGGTTTGCAAGTGGTTTTTTTTCACGTGGAAGAAACAAAATGTCATTTGTGTTTCCTTTGGCCTTTTTAAGGCACAGCGGGATTTGGGGAGAGGGGAGCAGCGTTCCATTGGATGTGCCTTTGCCTGTGTGTCCTCATGCACTGGGACTTTGGTGGGACTTTTATACATGATTGTGCGCGGCTGTTGAATTAGCTAATGAATTAATTAAATGTGTGCAATCTGCACGGGGTGAATTGACAGGTCACACAGCTTCTGGAGCACTAGTTAAAGTATTTGAGCTGAGGGGTCCCAAACCCGAGCCCACGTCTCTCTGGTGGTCCCCAAGTCTCTGCAAGGTGGCCCACATCATCTTCACACTCTCTTATCCTGGAGTCTCACTTCCACCACCCAACCCAACACGCTGGAGTCAACTGCAGATACTCCTTGTGGTCCCAGCGACAGTGACAGGCCCTGAGTTGACCTGACAACACCTCAACCTCTCTGCTACCACCTGAGACATGCACACCCCCTTTGCAAGTGTTTGTATGACCAAGATGCCTTGGTGATTCCTCAAAAGACAACAAGGTGCAGAGGTTAGAGACCCAAAAAAACAACTAAATGCTGCATTGTTGATTTTTACTATAGAGCTACTAATGATTTTACACCCCAATTTTCAGCAGTGTGTACCGGGTTTTATTCTTTATATATCAGAGGGACATGAAAAAAAATTATTGAGAGCTTATCTGTATGATACCTGAGGACACATGGAGCTTCAATTAGCTCGGGATGAGAGGAACCTGTTCTTCCTTTCCTTTGGGCACAAAGAAGGGATAACTGAGCAATTCAGATGCAATTATCTACACCAGCAACATCTGAAGCTGGGGGAGTTTTGTTGAGAAACTCCATTTTTCTTGGCTAATAGAGGCAACTCCAGGCTCAAAAGGTCTCTAAGGTGCCAGGTAAGATCTTGTCCCAGTGCTTGTGTCAACACAGATGGTCACTGAGGTTTATTCATACTGCTTAATTTTGGGTGGGCTACGTAAGGTAGCTGAGTTCTGTGTCACTGAGGCCTCAATCTGTACCAAGACTACAGGTGTCTAATTAATGATTTCCTTGAAGGAAACTTTCTGTCCACATACAGTCAGCAGTGAGAGAAAAAAACCTTTGAAGGTCTTGCAGGGAACATAAGTACACACAAACAGCCCCAGATACAATACCCAACCTACCTACCTGTCCATGGTATACAAGTTTTTCCCTTTAGAGGCTCTCTGAGGTACTTATCATTAATTACCCAAAGAAATGTGGATCTTGGTGAGAGAAACATCTGCAATTTTCACATTAGTTGGACGCCCAAATAGGACAGAATTTGGGCTGCCTGTCATGTTTCAGTGCTTCACTAGCCCTAAGAGGGTGGTGAGACGCTGAAACAGGTTGTCCAGGGATGCTGTGGCTACCCCATCCCTGGAAGTGCTCA